GAGGGAATGTGCGCGCTGGAGAGAGTCACTGAAGAAACGAAAGTCCTCAACGAGCCGTTGCCGTTTCCTCGACCGATTTTCAACGTGTTCGCTACCATTTGACACTGCTGCATTCTGTAGCAACGTTTTGAGCTATGACTTTTCAGCCTACGAAGCTTTGTGCGGGGAGCAGATAAAGTGGCGCGTTCCCATGCAAGAGTTTTAGAAATCCGTGCTATTTTAGGGATGTGTGCTATCAACATATTTGAGAAAACGTGGTATCTGGTGAAGTCTAACTATGTTGTAAAAAGCAGCCATCGTTTTTCACCTACCTTTGTGAACATATAACCAGAAACAGGGGCTGAACCTTTGGCGCTGACCTCGCCAAGCAATTTCGTCTCCCATTCTTGGGGTCTGAAATAGATTTTGCATTTAAGCTAAAAACTAGATCATGAAAATTTAAAGGTGAGCATATGAACTGCGAACTGTTTTACCCTCGTGGAGTGTATTTCCCTTCAGGTCGTTTGAATAAATCTACGGAATGTTGCAAATCGAAATCAAAATAGTCCGGATCATCTCGATTAGGGCGTGAGTAGTACGGCTTGGGGCAGTACACCTGCAAAATAGGTTTTCACAACCAATTGTAACTAACTCCTTAATTTTATAAAATCGACGACTTTGAATAGCTGATTGAAGAAATTTAACATTGAACGAGGGTACTTACGGAAAAATCGTAGTCGTCACGTTCAGATGCCGATCCTGCCGAGGGAGCGGGAGCGTTGCGAAATTCTTTCGTGGTTATCTTCATTCGCTGCGGTAACGGCGCCGTTTTCAGCAGCCTTCAATGGATAATGAGTATTCAAAATGTTACAAATTCCTTCAGCAACACATAATTCTCCTTGAAAACTGTTATACGATAAGACTTAAGTAATACTACAAAGGCCATGGGCCGCTGCGTCGCAATTCTAGCTTCATAAGGCTCAGTGGGTCCAATCATTCCGGGTTAGCCAGCGCATGACTTGTTGAGGTAATAAAAAATACTGATATGAACACTGGTTGCGCCCTCCCCTCTCCCACGATAAATACCTGATAGATGTCGGATGCGTGGCGCAGCCTAGAGGGGCTTATCGTCTGTTATTCACCTCTCTTAACGCTTCTTCTGCGAAAGGTCTAGTCGGTCTTTGAGAAATGAGATGGGAACTATAACCGACTCGATTTGCAGCCCTTGTACCTGCATTCTTTTCACCACATTCAGCACATATAAGCAAACTATTGGCGTGGATCAGTCCCTTCTTGAGGATGCGCTATGCATACATTCTATCCAATATCGCCAAGTCTACGGAATGATGGCTTACAATGCTAGCGTGGGCCCCGCGATGATACAAGATATTCAGTGTTCAATCTAGCGATTCTTACTAATTAATCCTACAGAGAGATAGCGAGCATGGTTGGCCCCGGGCTCAATTACAGGACATGTCCCGGCACTGCGAGTGTAAGTATAGTCACGTCACACATCAATAACTGTGATGCTATCTAAGGAGGGGGGTCAAAAAGAGTCTTCATCACTCAAGATATTAAACTTAGCCGAACAATGCAAATGAGGCTCATAGTGACATATTGAAAGCACATTCTATTCTATCAGAAAAATTACATAGGGGCTTTCTACACCGACGACATCAGAAGATTTTCCCACGGAAACATGGTTCGCGGTACGAGCTCAACGAGGTCGTCGAGAAACCATAGACGATTACGACGTCTCTGAAACGCTGGTCAAAAGCCATTTTGCATAGTCAGAGCTAGTGTCCCTAAGAAGCCATTCACCAGTTATCCGATTGAAGAAATTATGTAGCAGCTTCAGAATGGAGCGATTATGGTAGGCCTCCTTGAGCTCGACGGTGATGACAGATGACGTCATATTCTGGAGACGGTGAAGGCAGCGAAGGTGGGCCTGATTCTGCTTATGGGGGACATCTAAGGAATATTTCGCCGTATAACTCCCAATAACAGCGGCATCCTTTGCGACGAAAAGTTGATGATATGCGCCATGGGCAAAGTGACTCTTTTTTTGCCCCCCCCCCCTGTATAATTCAAGCCATTCTACATTTCAGATAGTCGCATCGATTGCCAGTGCAAGTAGAAAAAGTGGTGTCAGTGATCTACCTCTGATTGCGCTGGTTTTACAGTCTCAACGAATGGCCTGAGAATAACCTCTGAACTCACATCGCTTCTACGTCATTGGCTCGTTGCTCATATCGTGACTCCATTCCTTGAGAGAACGATAACGCCGGCGCAGCATACGGGCCAGAGCCAGCTAAACAGAGCGCATCCGCTTTCCAGGAAAAAATTAAAATGAAATGACCAACACGGACCTGCATAACTTCGCCCTGATGAGGAAGTGGATGCCAGCAACGACCGGTCAGCCAAAGATGGCATAAGGAGGCTACTTTGAGATCTAGACAATCGCTTCTTATGTTGTGGAGAAGAAGAAGGAAGACAGTTCATTTCAATGCTTTTACCTGACGCTGGGAATGAATCCCGTGTCCCTGTCAAGATGACTGAACGGGCTTTCAGCTCGACTTCTCCTCGTTCGCGATAACGTCGACTCAAGAAACTGCGCTTCGTCTTTGCTCCTTTCTACTGTTCGTTTTGCCTAAAGGGGTGTACGAGACGATTAGCGAGAAGACCTTCTCAGAAAATCGATTTCTTCAATATACCTTGTGGTAAGACTCCTTAACGCTTTCCTGCCATAATTTCCATGATGGTTTCTTGTCATCGCAAAGATGTTCTAGCCGATCGTCAAAGTCGATCCTCTTAAATCTTGGCGTTGCCTTCGGAATTCGAACAGTGCTTAAATCGATAGGTTTCTCGGCGTGATGGATATACTATTATCTGTGCCTCCTATTTTGATCTGGAAGGACCTAATGTGATAAATTGCGTATCAACTATCTGCTAGCGTTAGAGTAGTAATTTCCAGCCATAACGCCTTCAGCAAGGCTGCGTAGTAAAAAGATCGCGTTGGAAGAATGCTTGTGATTGGTGGCTTTTCAGTATCTGCCAATCAGAGGATTCACTCCCCATGCCCATAATCCCAAATTGCACATTCATACCTGCTGTTCGTGAAACAGAAGAGCAATCTAAATCAATGAAAAACACACTGCTTTGCATAGTTAAATGTAGGTCCGGTTGATAAGTTCGTAAAAATCCTAAGAAAATATGTAGCAGGAAAGGTAACTGAGAAAAGTGGGTGCAGTACGAGTATGATCTTGAGCATGAACATCTGATCCTTCGAATGCACGGGGATATTTTTATCTTATTTCTTGGAAAAAGTAACTTTGACGATTTTGCAAAATTAGAAAGCCACCACGTACATATTTCTTGGTTGAATTTCACTGTCCCTCGATAGGATTTTTCGGTTTTTATCAATTTCTCTCTTTCAGGGTATGACAAAAAGAACAGCGCACTGGGAGTTACTACAAAAGGGCAAAATCCGGGAAAAAAGAAGTAAAGTTGCGAAGTAGTCGAATTGTGCGTGGTTTGCGCCCTGCTTATGTGGTATTTAACCATTTCGCCCAGGATTTCGGAGCATACGGAATTCAAAAGAGTCCTGAACATTCTCGCCTGTGTTTTGATTGAAATAACCATCGCATTCTAAGGAATCCATACAGTTCCTCTCAGGAGTTCTCGGAAATAACTTTCTTTGGCGCTCAATTTTGAGAAGAACACTGTTTGTTGTCTATTACAAAAACTTGGAGGCAATCATGAGACGGGAATAACGAAAGACAAATCTAAAAACACGAAAGCTTAGCGTAAATCAAGCCAACTTTTCAAAAATATTGGGTCGGTGCATAATATCGTAGCGCTCGCATTTGGCAAAAACGTTTAAAGCAAAACCCAAAAGCAAAGCCAAGCATAAAACTGATCAGTGATGTTCTTCTCGTCATTATTTACGACTTTGGTTCCATTTCGCAAGAAATTACCGGGTTTAGAAATCAAAAAAGGGTACTGAGCCCGTTTTCAGAATCCTCATTATTCTCAATGTACGACGTGAATATGATTTGAAATTAAGGGTCGACTGGAGTAAGGTTCGATGATGACGATGGATTCCGAAAAACTCCTATTTTGGCAGCTTTTTTCTCTATATAGATTTTCGCCCACCTTGATTCTCCAACTTCTAAGCGCCATATCTGAGTACACTTACAGTATAGAAGAAAATGCCAAACATGGTATTGTAGAGCAGAAGAAGTACTTTCAAATGATATATGTGATTTCCTGGGTAATACTTGTATTCACTAATTCGTAGCTCGAAAAGAAAAACGCTACGGTATTATGCACCAACCCAATAGGTGGCCGAACTTACTGGAGCAGCGTCATTTCGCTGCCTGATACCTTTCACTGCTTCTTTCCTTTTTTCAGCGTTTTTGTTTCTCAAGCGAGCATTTCTTTTGGGCAAAGACATTATAAAAAACGTTGAAAGAAATGAAGACAGACAGTAAAATGCCGTGGGTGAAAAACCGATCTGTTTGCATGCACCTTTAAAGGAATTTTCTTGATTTTAGTGAAGATTACGTGTTTTTGGAGATTCCCTGCCTTACTTCGTCGAATGGTCGCCTCAAAGTTCTTGCAACACATCAAACAGTGTCCTCGGAGAAATTGAGCTAGGAAGTTGGATTTCCGAGCAACCTTAGGAGGAATTGTTTGGTTTCAGAAGAAGAGAAGTTTAAGGAACTCTTTTGAACACCGTATGCCCCGAAATCCTTGACGAAATGGTTAAACAGACACATGAGTTGGGCTTGAACCATATACAATTTTTTCTAAGTCCGAGAGCGGTGTTCGCGTTCTTCATCCTAGAAAAAGGAATTAACAACAACTAAACAGTTCCACTGACGGACAATGGAATTCATCCAAGAAACATTAGGTGGCTTTATATAATAATTTAGAAAATAGGCAAAGTTATCATTTTCCAAAAAATGAACAAAAAAATTCCGTGTACTGGAATGGATCTTACTCTTTCTACCTAGAATCCTATTTGTATTGACCATACTTTTTCTCCTCCGACTTTCCAGAAAACTCCTAATACTTTGAGTATTTTCAAGGTGGACGTATTATTACGCAAAGCAGTGTATTTACTTGCACCACTGACTTTGTGTAGCGGTAGTGGGAAGAGAACAAAGGGCAAGCTGAGGAAGTGGAGTTCAACCGAGAGGTGCTCCCATTACTACTATTGAGTACGGCTACAATGCTTACTGAACAGTATACTTTTCTCTGATCCATTTTGAAAATTTCACTACAGTTTTAAGAGACGCCAAGCATTTTCATAGGTGTCGCCGAAGGTGATCAAAGCGGTTCTACAATTCCCTGCGATCATCAACCAATAGGAAAGGAAAGAATAGCCTTCTCAGACAGGCGCTCCTTGGATTTCTGAGTTTCGGTAAGCTTCTAATCTGTTGCACTTTCTACCATGTGGGCTCCTTGACTCGCTTACGAAAAGTCTATTTCAAGACGAAACGTTGATGTGTAAAGAGTTCTATACAAACAATATGCGTTCGCACAGAATGACCTTACTTTGAGGACTTTTACAAGTGCTGAGTGGGTTTAAGATAGTTAAGCATCTGCAATTGCTAATGAAGGCGTTTTTTATACAAGTCATTTCACCAGTTTACGACATCATTTCGAAGTAGATTCTCGCAGCCGACGCCGCTGCCGACAGTTGAGTGTAAGCCGACAAAGCCCGGGCAGCCGGAGCCAGCGATATGCACACAGAAAAACCGTTCGAGAATCACGCCTCGTGCATGACTTTTCTCCGAAAATTCGCCGGTAATCGCACAATCCTAACTTCGAATCAATACGCATCTATTGCACCACACATGCAGGTAAGGTAGAATGGACATAATTTGGAGGAATTTAACCTGAAGTCGGATGTGGATCCGTAACCGGAGTCATATGAAATCGGTGGAGGACGTGATGATGTGAAAGATTCAGGAGAGTATGTAGGCGGTACAGACGATTTGAGATCAAGTAGGCGCATAGACTCTTCGATCAGAGCCGATGACGGCACTGATATATCCACCTGAAAAACCAGTTGAATGGTAAAATTGTGGTTTTAGAATCATGCAATACTAGCCTCTTGAGCGTATGGTTCATAGAAGCTTGCGCCAAAAAAAAAGAAATAAAAATGGACTACTAGCGAAACAAAAGCTGTCTTTTGCGGGCAGGCCCGCACTTCTCACTTAGTTTCGCAGCACACGACCCGTTCATACTTTTGTACGAGTTCTACCATTTTGAGCTAACCAGTACTTTTTTCTACCGAAACTAATTTTGAAGTGTTGTTATTTGTAGGATCCCACCTTTGGAGGTAGCGTGAGCACTGTAGACGAGCCGGGCAATCCGCCATTGGGAACTGTCGACTGACCAGCTTGATCTTCTTTCTCGTCTTCGGGATCGGCCATTTTGTATTCCCTTAGTAAGTGGTTACTTTATATGACAAAGGTTATCACCTGCGTTCGATGCAAATGTAATAACGTTACTTCGGAAGTAATTGGTAAATGCTGGTGAGAATAGACAGCTCTGATAGCCCTTCAAGACCATGACAGCTGTTTTTCGGAGGTGATACGAGATCGATTGACCACGAGATGAACGTTCGATTGAACACTCGTAAACACTTATACTAACCGGAAGTAGATCGAGAATTAAAGAAAGATGATATGTGTGCGAACTCTTTTGTCAATGGCAGTATATGTACACGGCGACATCAAGAAATATTTACCAGATGTTCAAGAAGCTTTTCAAATATTTAGAAATGTGCGAGGGTTCAAACAAGGAGTAGATACTCGCGAACAGAACGAAAAAAAGTGAGCGTCGGCTGGCATGGAGGTGAACTGGTAAAACGGTGACCGATGACACTGTAATGAACTAAAGCAAGAAGATATGAATGTAGGTTAACGGGAACGTACACAAATTCCAAACGACATATAAATGTATCTCTTTCGCCGAAAACGCCATAATTAGGGGTGGTGAAAAGAGTGCGGATGAAACTGTGTTTGTGTGAGTGGAGAACGTAAGCGGCGCGTGGGGGTGTGTTGTGCGACGCTCTCTTCGCTGAGCACTGTGTAAAGCTGAGGATGAGGGTGAGGGATCGGTGGTGAGAGTAGAAACAGCAGCGACGAGCGATCTCGGACAAGTCCACGACGAGGAGCTTCGTTCCTTGCAATCCAATCTCCACACTGCCCTGTGCCGCACAACTCTCGTCTACTCGTCCCTCGTTTGCCCTTCAAATAGCGATGAGTGAGTGTGACATGGACTTGTCATACGAGGGGTTCGGTATACACTCACTACGACAACGCCACTACGTAGTGCTAAGTCTGTGAGCTCCTATTGCAACACGCCATTTTTAGGCAGTAATCTTAAAAAGTACACTGTGTCGCAGAATATGAGAGCGAAGTTGCTCAACCTCCGAGCAAGATTTATACAAAGTCGAACTTAGACACTGTGTTACGCTCGCTTTTCATTCCTCACTGGAATTGTACTACGATGTGAGTTAAGTAGAACCATACGAGTATTTGGAGGAGGAACAACTCGTGCTATTTATTATAAAGAGGGGGTAGTGGGCAAGAAGGTCATTTCTCTCATCATTGTAATGGATAATTTACTTTGCTAAATTCAGTCTATCGAAAAAACCTCATAATAGCCTCTCTCCGAAGCAAATTTTTCCACGGAAACATACTAAGTCAGCCAGGGCCTCGACTGGTCATGTGATGTTATGACCTCTCTGGATGGGAAGCTGTCCATCAGTTACTCGATTGGAGGCATTATGTATCAGCTTCATGCTGGAGTGATTCCTACAGGCCTCTTTGAGCTAAACTGTGATGGCAGACGTCGTATTCTGAAGGCGGTGAGGGTACTGGAGGAGGGCCTGCTCACAGGGAGATACCTAAGGAATGATTCATAACCGGCGGTATCGTGTGCGGCGAAAAGTTTGGTGATGTGCATTATGGGCTAAATGGCCTTTTTTCTTGTATTCAGAAACCTTGATCAACGCTGGAAGGCTTACTATTAACTTTTCTGCTGTGAGATTCATTTTGCTGGAGTGATTTGGGTCTTAGGTATCGTCATTGGATTTGACCGTGCTGAAGGACAGGGGCTAAGAGCAGAAGGAGCGATAAGTGGGGAAGGAGGAATTACCGGTTTTAAATACATAGAAAAGCACCGACGAACGGCTAGCAGCTAATCACGAAAGCAGTTTTCGGCCCAGGCAGATGTGATGGACTTTCGGCAAACCGGAGCGCATGCAGCACGCCGCTAAAATTTCTGTACAATTTTGTTGACTCATTGTAAGGACGTGATTTTTTCAACGACCATTAGTGTAATGTTCCACAGTGGTAACTAAGTAGGGATACCAGCCTGATTAGAAGGGTTCAAAAAATTATTGCCATATTTCGTTGAGGTCTATATGCCGGGTCATCCTAGCCGCTAAATGCGCTCAAAAAGGTCATACAGCTTCTGTCAGATTGCTTGACGAAACTTCGCGGTACCAGATTACAGTGCCAAACACACCCCTACACTGCCTACTACACAGTGACTGCATAGAATTGACACACCCTTGAGTGCCATTAAAACGCTTTTTGCAAAAATAGTGCGTGTTGCAGTCCTAAACTGAGGTGAATAACACCTTTGCCCTTTTACTGAAAATTCTATACCATCACATATCTTGTGTGACTGATGGAATATTTCAACGAATTTGTAATCCTCGCGAGAATTGTCTGCTCATAGCGCTCACCCAGGCTCAGTAACCAGCAAGCCGAACTCGGGCCCACCTTCGCAAACTTCCTCGTGTCCTTCACTGATCATATATAAAATAATGGATGTTCTTTGTGGATTGCTTTCTAGGATGTCCAAATACACAGATTTATTGAAGCTGCTCACATCTGTGATGGCCCTCATTATCATACTACGGTGCAAGAGGTACTAAAATTCGACATGGATATTATATCAGACAAAGAAAATGATTTTTATTTCATATTTGTTTTTACAGTTATACTCCAAATTCAGGGATCATGTTAAATCCATGGGAGAGAATGCAAGTTTATAAGCTCCTGTTTACATGTTGACATACGCAAGAAGCTTGTGTAAAGCAGATGTTATGGAATGATAGTCCAACACGTGAATTTCAAAGAATACTTAAGAACAATACAAAGAGTACTAAATAAGTACTAAATAAGCAAGAGAAGAACAAAAAATGCAGGGATGACCCTTTCTTAGCTGCCTCAAAGTTAATAACTGCCCTCTTCAAATCTCGAATTTTCAAAGATTAAAGTTGGTAAAGAAAGTCATGGGTAGCATGGGCACGGTGAAGACGGTACAAGTTACATTAGGTTGAGCGGGAATTATCCGCCGTTTCCATTTTTCACATAAGTTTATTAACGAAACCAAACAAAAACAACTGCGAATGATTCATCAACAGACGTACTCGAACAGCGCTCTCTGTAACCGTGCATTCATCCCAAACATCGTTGATTCCACGAGCATACGCTGCAGCGTTCGGTTTGAGCTTGTATTCATATGGAAGCATAGCCTATCTTGTTTGCTCGCGTTTATACTCCGTAGTGAAGCAAAGTCACAAGTATTGAAATCTTCGGAAATAATCAACAAAATATTAAAGGCCATGAGCCTAAAAAACGGCGGATAATTTCCCTTGACCTAATTCATATGTGGTGAAGAGAAAGTGTAGATGCTCGATCAGAGTGTAAGTAGTGAGCAATCAGCGAGAGCATGACTTGAAAACTCTTGGAAGTCCTGGCCATTTGGCTGAATGGGCTCCTTGGACACTTTAAATGCGCAGATGCCACACCCTTGATTACCACAAGTTAACGTAAGACAACTGCTTGCTTAGTAGAAAAACTTCGACAGGCACTGCTTAGTCACATTGAGCGCAATTATAGGTATACTGCACACACCTGCTCTCAAGCTAGAAGGGGAAGTAGCTAGGGCATGTAGCCAGGAGGCAAGACCGCAGGCACAGTATCGGCGCACGTGGCGCTGCTAGAACATGCATGGTCACGGGATCTGATGCTGAATTACCCCGCCCAGGGCAGCATAGACTTGCAGCTTGCTCGCTTTAAATAACTGGCACCAAAACATTATATGTAGGGAGACAGAAAAAAGGCTCGTGCATTAGGTTGGCCAAACCAGTCGCTGGTGCTTCAGCGGCATAGGCAAGAGATGCACCCAAATATGTCTAACTTTTCAAATGCAATACGAGTGCATGGCGTGTCCAGGAGCGGAGTTGTGGGCCTACTAGGACTTTGCGCTTGAGGCAATCCAGTCGATGGAAGGGAGGTAAGCAAACCAGCCCTTTTGGCGTTTCTGCTGGGGCCGTATGCTGAATGTTGGGGAGGGGATGGGGTCCCCGACGGTCGACGGACTACTTCAACTCGGTCGGTACGGTAGGAGAGTGATGACGAAGTGGTGCAGCTGGTCCAGCAGCTCCGCCAAAAGGGCTGGTTTGCTTACCCCAGGACTAAGCCTTGGAGAGAGGACGGATCTCGCAGGTCCGTCCTCTCTTTAAGGCTTAGTCCTGAGGTAAGCATCAAATTGAGGCGGTTTAAGGACCGAGTTGAAGTAGTACCCCATCCCCTCCCCAACATTCAGCATACGGAAACGCCAAAAGGGCTGGTTTGCTTACCCCAGGACTAAGCCTTGGAGAGAGGACGGATCTCTCGCAGGTCCGTCCTCTCTTTAAGGCTTAGTCCTGAGGTAAGCATCAAATTGAGGCGGTTTAAGGACCGAGTTGAAGGGGTACCCCATCCCCTCCCCAACATTCAGCATACGGAAACGCCGAAAGGGCTGGTTTGCTTACTTCGATGGAAGGTAGCGATCATACATCGCACTTAGCAGATTTCCATTTCATGTAATGCTACACATGTGTTTTGGAGGTTCTGGAGGCGCTATTGAGTCGAGATCATTAAGATTCCTTCTGCTTAGTCATTCTTGCTGAAAGAACAGCTGAGGGTCTCATGATGCTGAAAGATGTTATAAAACACGGTGAACAGTTTGTCATCTTACATCATTCGCACATCAGCTGACATCATAGTTTTGTCCGAAGGTAATGTTTCATTACCTGCGTTCAGCGCCAACGCCTCAAAGGAAAAAAAGGTTAGGAAGGCACACGAAAAGAAAGAAACCAGGAATTTCAAGCAACAAAATCCAACGAGTTTCTTTATTTGCAATTCTCACCTTTTCAAATACGTCATTAAAACCTAATAAATATAATAATCTAATAAAAAAATATAGTAATCTAATAAATATAATATAATAAAATATAATAATCGATAATTGAAGACGGCATTCATCAGATAGCCTACAGACAAAGGAAATAGAACTCATTCCAGATGCAGCTTTCAATATCATACTATTCAAGGAGGTGGCTAGCACAGCAGTTGAGTTTTCTCCG